AATTCTTATTTGAAAATTTCCTTCTTTGCCTCTGCTGAATAAACATGTAGAAAACCCTGGAATATCTTTACCATTTTAGTCAATTAAGGGGATTAAGGAACCGTTGTGAAATGGGCCAGGATCTAACTCCTGGATTCGGATCTGCAAAAATATGCTGATCCTCGGATTCAAGGGTCAAAATATCAATTAAAAAGTGCTTTAAAAAATTTAACCCCGAATGTAACTGTTGAAAAAGAGAGATAATAAAAAAACTTGCTCTAAAAGAAAAAATATTGGCAAAAAAAGAAGAAAAATTATTGATGAATTCTTCTTCTGTCAAAAAAAAATTGTAAATCTTGAAGTAATGTTCCCGAACTGGATCCGGATTTTTTTTCCAGTGCTGATCCAGGATCCGAATCCGCATCAAAATCAAATGGATCCCAAGGGCACTGCTTTAAAACTGAATTATTTAGAGAATATCACGCGGACGTGTTTCCTGACACCCCTGGTACTGTTCCCGGAATGGGGATCCAAGACTGGATTGATGGAGCTTCAGTTCCTGTTCCTAAAATATCCCTTAATCCCAGCACTAGGGAGGAATCCCTGGCTAGCCACGGTCCTCCTGTCTCCGATATTCCTCGTCATGTTACACCTCCGGCTCCGGTGATTATGGGACCTCCAAGCTCTAATCTAGCTCCGCCTAGAATAGTTCAACCCAACACTGCTGCTAGTCCTAAACCCTCCCCAAAACCGCGCTTGATCCGTGGAGATTCATCAGAATCTGATGTCCCTAGGGCAGCTCCTCGGCCTTCCTCGACTAGTGGGTCTAGACCCAGCTCAGGAATAAATCATTTCCTGAATATTTTTTCCACATGAATTACTTGTTTTAGTTTTTTTTTATGTTTTTCTGAGTTCCACTCGTTTGATTTTTATTTTCAAAAGTGATATCAATTTGTTTCACATTAAATTTGGATTTCTCGCCCCCCTTCCCCCTCTTAATCGAAATCCAAATTTCCTTTATCAAGCAACTTTAGCTGCATGCGTTGAATTAAAAACAAACATTGATAGCAAAATTAATATCATACACTTTGACAAGTGTGCTACATTTCCACTATTCTATGTGGTGAACAAATCAATGATATTCAAACCACACTTGTGTTCTGGTAACCACAAGGAAACAATAAATTTGGTGCAAAGGGGAAAGAGAGGGGTGGGGGAGTTCAAAAAGTTGTCCACCAAGTCAAAATATGACTAAACTAAGTTCAAATTTTGAAGAAATACATTATAGCGTTATGTCTTTCCTATTTTATTGTGCATTATAGTTGTAGCGTTCTATTTTGAGAGAATTGTGTTTTTTTTATTATAAAATTTTTTTTACCAGGGAGTCAAATGCTTGTTTTTATTTCCACTTCCTGCAACCTCTTCTAAAATTATTACCCCAACTCTATCTTCTCCTAAATTAATGTTTACAAATATTTTAGGTAAATTGTAAGAATTAATTCTGACCTTGTCGAAAATTCTTGTTAGAAATGTACTTCAGCGCCCTCTACCCTTCTTTCCCTTATAAATACAAAATCATTGAAATTGAGTGNGGGGGGGGGGGGATATGTTCTTTAAGTCAGTTTAAGTCTCTGGTGTAGATAGTAAATATATATATGGATTTATGATATATGTGAGAAAGAGAAGGATATGGATAATTGATTTATGTATATTCATATGTAAGACTAGCTGGAGTGCCAGGCGTTGCCCCTGGAATAAAATACAAAATTAAGTTAAGCCGTTTGGCCAGCTATAGCTTATATATAAATATACAAATGTATGTAATAGATAGAGAAGTATGTGGAAATAAATATATAAAAAATTGTAAGATAGAGAAGAATATGGTTATGTATCTAATATTGTTGTATAGAGAAGGATATGGATATATATCTTTGTTGGATTTCCTTCTTTTTATTTTTCTACTTTATTTTTATATGGATACTGGATATATATCTATATGTTTAATAGATGATAAAATGGATATCTAATTTTATAAAAAGAATTTTTCCTTGATACTCCTGATGGCAATATATAATATGAATGTGAACATAAATGTATGAAATTGTAGGATAGAGAAGGATATGGATATATCTGAAGATGATAGGGAGAATGATAAAGAGAATGCTCCTCTTGAGGTTCAAAAGAAGGAGAAGATCAAGGTAAAAAAGCACATGTCACTAATTTTTCTATGTATCTACCAGCTATCTATTTTTATGAAGAATTGAACTTTTTATGCTTAAACTTGATGAACCATTCAGAAATCAGGAAATTTCTATTATCTCTCTTTTTTTCAAGTTTTTGGAGTTGAAGAGTAAAATTTTTTTTCTTCAGTTTTTGGTTGATATTTTGCCCTTTTGATTCGGATCCGTGGATCCGCATATTTTTGCAGATCCAGATCCTGGAAGCAATATTTTTGCGAATCCAACGGATCCGGATCCAAAGCACTGCTATCTATCTTTCTAGGTGGTTGATTATTTTTTTCAAGGGACCGATTCACAGCGTGTGTTTTTTCATGGGACCGATTCACGACGTGCGTTTTTTCAAGGGACCAATTCACAGCGTGTGTTTTTTCAAGGGACCAATTCACGACGTGTGTTTTTTCAAGGGACCAATTCACAACGGCATCCCTGCAAGCAATAGAAATCCTCGTTGTTTTTCTGTTTTGAGAAACATAATTCTTATTTGAAAATTTCCTTCTTTGCCTCTGCTGAATAAACGTGTAGAAAACCCTGGAATATCTTCACCATTTTAGTCAATTAAGGGGATTATGATACCGTTGTAAAATGGGCCTGGATCTAACTCACTTGGAATTGTCTCGGATGTTCCCTTTAAAATAGTGATTAGGATCCGGATCCATTGGATCCGCAACATTATGGAGTCCTGGATCCGGATCCGCAAAAATATGCTGATCCACGGATCCAGATTCAATGGTTAAAATATCAATAAAAAACTGCTTTAAAAAATCTAACCCCGAATCTAAACTGTTGAAAAAAGAGATTATAATAAAAACTTGTTATCTCTAAAAGAAATAATAATGGCAAAAAAGAAAAAAAATTATTGTCAAATTCTGTCAAAAAAATCTGTAAATCTTATAGAAATGTTCCTGACCTGGATCCTGATTTTTTTTTTTCAGTGCGGATCCAGGATCCGAATCCGCATCAAAATGAAATGGATCCTAATCACTGCTTTAAAACTTAATTATTTAGAGAATATCACGCGGACGTGTTTCCTGATACCCCTGGTACTGTTCCCGGAATGGGGATCCAAGACTGGATTGATGGAGCTTCAGTTCCTGTTCCTAAAATATCCCTTAATCCCAGCACTAGGGAGGAATCCCTGGCTAGCCACGGTCCTCCTGTCTTAGATATTCCTCGTCATGTTACACCTCCGGCTCCGGTGATTATGGGACCTCCAAGCTCTAANAATAATTAATAAATCCAACTTTTCTAAATTAAGTTTTTAAGATGGACCTTTTGATACCCTTTTCAATATATATTTTTTTTCGGTCATACTAGTGACTATTTATATTTTTCGAAAATGGCCGTGCAAAATTAAAAGCGCGCAAAAAATCTAAACCTACCAGAGGAGGTTTAAAGAATATTTCTGTGACCTACTTGCCAACTTCCCCTCCAGGTTGCTTGAAATGACCAACCCTAAGGTTTATGGCTGGCCAATATTTGGAAAAAATGCCTATAGTAAAATGAGGCAGATTTATTGCCTGTACGTATGAATAATATAAAAAATGGGTTCTCTTGTTTTTTTTATCAATGGCATCGCATTTATGTTGTATTGATAAAATTCTTTTCATTTGTTTAATATTTTATTTTGTTTCTATTATTTTTTTTCGTTTATTTTTTATTAATTCTTAAGAAAACTGGAATGATTTTAAATTGATTAAAGTGAACTCGACCTCTAGTCTGCAGGATAAGTCGGAGGATGTCACGGATGAGGCTCCAGGAGGTCAAAATTTATTTATTTTTTCTAGTAAAATTTCAACATCTTTTAAAAACTAAAATATTTAAAAACAAAACTTTCACTGTGGATCGCTGTTTTTTTGTGGTACTCGTATGTATTGACAAAATAAGTGGATTTATTTGAAATTTGGACTTTTCTATTTTAATTTTTATCATTTATTATTAATATTATTTTCATAATATAATTCCGTATCACTACGTAACTATAAACTATCTTTGATTAATTAATTGTCTGTTCAGGTTTCAAAAGAACTCCGAGTATCAGGGATAAGATGAAAATGTTTGAACGAGGATCAGTGGACGCTAAACCAGAATTTCGGCGGCCATCCTTTAATAAACCTAGTGCTAGGTAGGGAGGGAAGATCCCCCATATGTTCTTTAAGTCAGGATAAGTCTCTGGTGTAGATGGGATAGTCAATATTAAAATATGGATTTATGATATATTTGAGAAAGAGAAGGATATGGATAATTGATTTATGTATACTCATATTTAAGACTAGCTGGAGTGCCAGGCGTTGCCCCTAGCATAAAAAACAAAAATTTGAATTTAAAAATAAAATTATTTTAAAAAATTTTTTTTTGAAAAAAAAAGAACAACAAATTTTGATTTTTTTAGTCTACGTCACCCCCCGGGTACACATGGGTTCCTTAAAAAAAAATTAGCCAATTTGGTCAAGCCGTTGGGCCAGCTACAGGGTGTCCCACATCATATTAGACCGTCAACAGGTCTAAATTGCGATTTTCGGGACTAATAAGAAAATTTAATTAGAATTTATCACAACAAATCTATACATATTATATAAACCATCCGTTAGAAAAGAGTCAAGCAATATGGAGAAAAGTTTCCATGTGAACATTTAAATCACGGATGATTTATAAACCTGGAGAAAGAGAATGAAACCAAGTGGGAGGGGTACAACTAACCCATCTTGGTCTGAAAGACAAGACCTATTATTAAAACTAAAGTGGCTAGACTTTTAAGCATTAAAAACTTATCGACAATTCTGTTTTAAGACATGTACGATAGTAGAAAATTAGACTCAATTTCAAGAATATAAAATAGGCTTCAGAAAGGTTTACATCAAAATCTTAGGTTGGTAGTTTGAATGGTAAGATAGATAATGGTAGATTCAATGTATTTGTAGAGATTTGTTGGATTAGTTGCTTGAAGATAGGGGTTCTCTGTAGGACAAGCTGGAGAACTTCTCGACTTTGAACACCCTGAACACACATTAGTTTATAAAGATCCACAGATCTTACACTGTCATTCTTTTTAATACATACGTTTACCTAAATATTTTTTTATTTTCCCCAATTAAAAAAAATAAATTCTATTTTTGTGATGTAATATGATGGGGTCTGGGGATTGGGACAGATTAGTAACACACGTTTGTATTTGGGTTAAATCTATAATATATGTTGCGTGGTTTTTGTTTGTTTGTTTGTATCTAATAAACGTCAAAACGGCTCAACCGATCGACTCCAAATTTTTCTTTTAATCTCACATGACCCCAAGAGAAGGTTTATTATTATTAGGGTTGTTCGATTTTGGAACCAAGCTTGAGGGCCTAGTGCAGATATACCTGCGCCTAAATATTCTAAGAACTCCGCAAAAAAAAAAAAATAACCAAAAAAAATGGCGATCTTGCGGTCATTTTCGCCGTAAGACGTGAAAAAAAATATTTTCAAAATATATTGATATGGGTATCAAAAAATGAGTCTCAAGCCGCTGAATACTACCCACATTTAGTTTTTGATACATATATATATATTGAAATGTTTGATTTATGGCCAAAAATCGAGTTTTTATGGCCATAAATTTAATACAAACCAGTTTTTTGTCTTAAATTGGTCTAATAATTAATAAATCCAACTTTTCTAAATTAAGTTTTTAAGATGGACCTTTTGATACCCTTTTTGATATATATTTTTTTCGGTCATACTAGTGACTATCTTATATTTTGCGAAAATGGCCGCGCAAAATTAAAAGCGCGCAAAAAAACTAAACCTACCAGAGGAGGTTTAAAGAATAGTTCTGTGACCTACTTGCCAACTTCCCCTCCAGGTTGCTTGAAATGACCAACCCTAAGGTTTATGGCTGGCCAATATTTGGAAAAAATGCCTATTTATATAAAGCCTAGTTTTTGTAAAACTGTTTTCAAGAATCATGTTCGAGGGACGATAAGATTTATTTTGATTTATCTTTCACATTTAGTAGATTAAAATAGAATGTTCTTGTAAATCATTAATAATTTATGTTCAGGATTCTAAACATTTTCTAGTTATACACTATTTATAATTAAACAAAGCAGCTCGAATGATTTTATGACGCATGGCTGAAGCTTCTTATCTAAAGATGTTTTGATTTATCATAAATACAGGGGACATCAGTTCCAAAACTACACTTGGTCCATTTCTAACACTGAGTGTTAGAAATGGGCACACATTGAAAGACTGGGTTTTTAGGATCCCAGCTCCCATATCGAGAGTAAAAGTCGATAATTAAATCTATAACCAACATTTTGTTAAGCATGACGAGGACAACAATTCCTAATTTTAAACTATTTTCCGAAAGTAAAATTATAATAGTAGTTCTTTTTATATCAAATCTCTTGACCGTTTTCAAGACAATGTCAGGTTTTCAATTTTCTAACATATACTGAATTTGAATCATTGTCGCGTTTTCGAGACAAAACCCACTTACCCGTTTTGAGTATAATCCTGAATTAAAAACAAAACTCACTTTCATAACTTACAAAATAAATCACTGAAAGTAGAAACTATCTTATGAAGACTAAATGAACTGCTAAATTATTCTTAAAATCATAATTTCCCTATTTTATTTATTAAATAAGAGAATAGAGTTGAGTTCCCGAATTCTAAATAAGCAATTTCCCGAATTTCTAGTTAAATCTAGGTTGTATTAAATCTATATTTCTCGATGCCTAAATGATTTTTAAATTATAAAAGAACAGTATTAATTTTGTTTTATATTTTGTATATATTTTATCTCATCAAAAAAATCTTGTTTTGTTTCGTAAGTACCATAAATGCATGAAAATTGACAATGATATGAATTCGAGTAATTGTTTCAAAACCAGGATATGGTCTGAAAACGCTACATGAGCTAAAATGTTCGAAAATGAAAACCAATTTCATCAAAAACTGATTCTCACACCTTATTATTAGTTTAATGTTGACGTTAATTGTTTCAATAATTAGTTTTAACCTTTTTTAATAAATGTGTGGTGTAGTTTTGTTCAAGTCGGCTTGGATTTAAAGATGTATACGCTTGAAAAAGATAACTTTGCAGATTTGGCCCATTGGGCCAAGTGTTAGTTTTGGAACTAATTTCCCCTGAAATATATAAAAATGTAAAATTATCAATTCTTTGTCTCATAATGTCGTTAAACTTAATTTATGAAAAAAGCTAGGAACTTGTGTGTTGGATATTCATGATCCCAGTTGCTTGATTTCGATATCCACCGCGGACACTTTGAATTTGAGGATTAATGCTTTATCTGTTTTTTATTTAAAAAAGTTTGTTAGTTGGGATCCTATTACTATATTTTTTTTCCAACGCTTGGAAAATTATTGCCGGGGTTGTTCTAAACATTCATCTTCTGTAGGGGCAGATATTAGAAAGTATTTTTATTATTTGGATGGGAGAGAAAGTCTAAATGAGACTTAGATCAAACAATTTGTTGAAAATAATGTGATCATTTTTTTCAATACTGTTTAGAATTTACCTAAACTCATGGCATATGACAAGTTTTAAGCTTGACGTCAAATGTTCTATAATTCAAGTTAAAAATAATAATTAATTCTTCGTCGTCATTTCTAGGTAAAGAGTGTTAGGCTGAATCTCAATGAATCGGATTCGACCGCTACTAATTTTAATCATATCTGTTGCGTCTATTAGAAGACATTTGTTTAACTCGCTTAATACCCAAGAGCGTAGAGCCCGTATAAATTTGAACTTAGTTGCATTATTCCTCTAAAGCCGTAAATAATTTAATGAAATTTAAAACTGATTCTTTAAATATTACAAAACATAAATTACGGATTTAATTCGCGTCATTTGAATTTTATTAGGATTTAGCTTAGCCTAACACCCTTTCGTTTTTCGAGAACACTCCTTTTATTGAGAAATATTAATTAAAATTTAATTAGTTTATATACTACGATGAATTTTTATCAAAACAATAACTCCTGCGTAATTGTTTTTGATTGAATCTGTTACTTATTCAGTTGTTGATGATGTATCGATCTATAACATAAATAAGAGAATTAAATATATCTTTTTCTCTCCCGCTTTGTTCTGTTTGAGCTTAGGGGTGTAAATCCAAATTACAAAATTTGAATTTTTTTACTAGACATTTTTGTAAAAAATCATTACCTCCCCCCTCCAAAAAAATTTTGTCCATATGTTTAGAATGAAGTGTATAAGTGTGAGTGAGGTCGACTGGGGGCCAGAACACCCCCATCGATTCCCTTTAATTAATTAATTAATTAAGTATCCATTAGTGTGGTTTGTATTAAGGACCAGGGGTGAAAAAAATAAAATTTGAAATGAAGTTTTATTTTAAATATTTTATTATTCTCTATTTCTTTCCACTTAAAGTTACTAATTTCAGAGATTTACACTTTATCGCGAATTTAAAGATATTAATTAGAAAATTAGTAATGATTTCTTTCTATGTGTTCGTATGTCTAGGGAGGTTTGAGCCCTACACCAAGGGGGGGGGGCGTTGAGCCACCACACCCATTGGTTCAATCATTCCCCCTAATTATGTTATTGTTTAGGTTTGGCCGGGTAACAAAGTTTAAACACATGAAGGGAACTTCTCTCCACAAATCAAAACATTTCGATAATCTGAAAAATCTAAGCAAGGGTGTCCCTGCTGAGTGTGAATATATACAGGTAACAAATCTTTTAGCCATCTTTTTTTTGACACCTTGTTGAATACATTTTTAATAAATATTGGAATTCAATGACATATCTTCTTCTTTCAGTATTGTTCATAAAATAAAATATTAATTGTAACCATTCTCCAGTAGACGTTACAGGCACAAATTTGTGACATCGTAACTCCTAGTTTTGATTTTACGCAAATATGAGGAAGTAAAATTATTGAGTTATATATATTATAAATTTTAAATTCAAACTATTTGGTTTTCTTATCTCTTAGATATGTAAATTATAAATAATCTAACATTTTAATCTCAAGTAAAATTTACTCCCTCAATTCTAGCCTGTTCTGAACCCTTAAAATTCTAAGAAACAAAACATCCAATAGCTCACTCATTTTTAAAGATTTGAAGACGATTGTTAACTTTCAAAAAGCCCAGCTAGCTAATAAGCTTTTTTTCTATAAAAACTTGTTTTTTAAAGAATATGTGACTTTGTTTCCATTTTTTGGAACACTAAAGTTTTCCTAACAATTTATGGAATGTGTCATAGACATTCTAATATTTGTAATATCAAAGTTATTAAATATTTTATTTCTTGGACTTCAATTTTCTTTACCTTTTTGATTGTCACGCATTTTTCCTTTTTTGACATAATCTATTAAAATCCATCAATACAGTGACCTTCCATCAGTTATAAAAGTAGACCTAATAAAACAGTCAGTGCATAGAATCCGGATTCTTAGGATCCGAAAGTTTTTCACGGATCCGGATCCAAGGGGAAAAATATCAACAAAAAATTGCAACAAAAAAACTGTTGCTCTCAAATCTGCACTGAACTGTTTAATAAAAGAGAGATAATAAAAATGTCTTGATTTTTGAATGGTTCATGTTTTAGCATAAAAATTATCGAAAAAAAGAAGAAAAATAATTTGACAATTCGCTTTTAAAAAAAAAATTACTAAATCTTAAAGAAATGTTCATCCGGATCCGTATCAAAATCAAATGGATCGAAATGTCGGATGTCCGTTGTGAATTGTGATGAATTTTATACTCAAATTAATTGCATTTGCCAACCGATAGAATTGCATATAGAAGTCAAATGAGTTTCATGAAAAAAGATGAAAAGAGATTTTATGACTGAACTCAGAGGAATGAACAGAAAAAAATAGTTTTCTTTAATTGTTAACTGTAATTCAGTATGTTTTTAAAAAAGAGTTTTATGTCCAATTCTTTAAAAGGTTTTAAATACCCCTCCTCAAACAAGCCGTTCCCCCCCCCCCGACTCAAGCAAAAGTTCATTAATTAGATCGACCCCCACCCCAACTCAATATTCACACATCTACACAGTTTGTTTTTAATCTTTGTGAAGAAACAATCTCAAGGAATAATAATTGTCTAAAAACATTTTTTTAGAAAGTGAATATTTGCAAATTATATTTTTTACATCTCATAATCTCAAGTTCTTTTCCCTTATGTCCATTTGACAGCCCACATTTTTATTTTGAATAATCTTTTTGTTTGTTTATATTCTTGTGATTTTTACATTTTTTTTATTTTTTTTTATCGATTTTCATGGTTATTATATCGTTAGAACTGACGAGGGTCAACCCAGACCGAAATATATTTTCAATAAATGTGGAACTAACATCTACTTTTTTACTCTACAGAGGTTTGGTCCATCACCATCACTGAATTTTAAATCAATTATCTATCACAAGGTGATTGATTGATTGGTTGCAATTCAAAAGAAAAGACAAATGTTGCTGTCTACATTACAAGGCATTTATTTTTAACTTTGTAAATGCCCAAGTTCTCATTTACTGGTACTTTCAGATACTTACATTTTTTTAAATACCTAAACACAACCTGTTAAACCAGAGCTCATTCTTGATTTAGTAATTTCATCTTGAGTTTGATATATGGGTATTAGGACATCCCCAAAACTCTGCTTGATTGATTTATTTACTATTTTTTTCATTACTGTTTAATCAGGTGAACTCTGAACGGCTTGCTATACCACTGGCTGGACCCGGGGGGAAAATTGCAGTCTTAGAAACATCAAGGGTAGGTTTTATTAACAATCCAATATATTCATATTTGGTCATTTATCCACAGCGGTCCACTCTGCTCTTAAATTTAAGATTCGGCTGAAAAACAGCAATTCGTTCTTAATGTTATTTTTTCAAATGTTCTTTAAACATTTTTTTTGACCTGAAAATATTTCTTTTCTTCATTTCTGAAATGATATTTTTTAAACATATATTCTCTAAAAATGTTTTGGACCAAAACAAATAGGATTTTTCTTTAGTTTTCATTTTTAAAAATTTTTGTGGGATTTCAAAGAAATGTTCTTAAAATTTTTCAACTTTTTTTCCTGATATAAAAGAGGTTCGTAAAAATCTCAATTTTAGAAAATGTTCTTAATTTTGTTGAAATTTAAGAACAGCGTTCTGAGGGGATCGTTATGTTATCCATGCAGAAGTTTGATCATTTTCTAGCTTTGCTTCTGGTTCAAGATTTCTTAGTTAATGTTCTAGAAGGACCAACTCCAGAAAGAGAGCGATTTCCAACTGTACCCCTTTCAATAATAGCAGGTAACAAGGGTTTCCAACTGTACCCCTTTCAATAATAGCAGGTAACAAGGGCTTCCAACTGTATCCTTTTTCAAAAATAGTAAAGAACAAGGTTGTCCCAATGTCCCCTTGCAATGAAAGCATGTAAGAAGGGTGTCTTACTGTTTCCCTTTCAATAACAGCAGGTAACGATGATGTCCACTGTCCCCTTTTCAACAGTGATAAATATCAAGGTTGTCTCAATGTCCCATTGCAAAGCAAATAAGAAGTGTTTCTCACTGTTCCACTTTCGATTACAGTAGGTAACAACAACATTGTCCCATTCCTATCCCCCCACTCCCCACTTTTAATTGTTTATTTTTTTGTTTGGTTTTAAAATTTTTCATTTTGTATTTTCGTAGACTTGCTGTCGTTACTGACGAGGGGGCTCTCAATCTTTGGATCATACCCGAGGGAGGTCTTAGTTTTCAGGTTAGTTCAGTTTAGATTAATAATAGTACAGTAGGAGGTCTTAGTTTTCAGGTTAGTTCAGTTTAGATTAATAATAATACAGTTAGGAGGTCTTAGTTTTCAGGTTAGTTTAGTTTAGATCAATAATTCTTCAGTAGGAGGACGTAGTTTTCAGGTTAGTTTAGTTTAGATCAATAATTCTACCGTAGGAGGTCTTAGTTTTCAGGTTGGTTTAGTTTAGATCAATAATTCTTCAGTAGGAGGTCTTAGTTTTCAGGTTAGTTTAGTTTAGATCAATAATTCTACAGAACTAGGAGGTCTTAGTTTTCTGGTTAGTTTAGTTCAGATCAATAATTCTACAGAACTAGGGGGTCTTAGTTTTCAGGTTAGTTCAGTTTAAATCAATAATACTTCAGTTAGGAGGTCTTAGTTTTCAGGTTAGTTAAGTTTAGATCAATAAGCTACAAAACTAGGAGGTCTTAGTTTACTGGTAAGTTTAGTTAAGATCAATAAGCTACAAAACTAGGAGGTCTTAGTTTTCAAGCTAGTTTATATTTAGACCGATTGTACTAATATTAGCTTTTATATTTTTAACTCTCAATAAATGAACTTTTTTCCTATGATAGATTATTAATCAATTAAAAAATACACAAACAAAGTTTTAAGGTTTCTTGACGTACTTAATTTTCAGAGTTAGCTAAAAACAACTTGCTATCCATCTGGAAAAAAATGGATCTGGATCCGCAATGAAAAAAAATGTACATTTCTTTAAGATTCACTAAACTTATTTAACAAATAATTGTCAAATTATTTTTCTTTTTTTTTGCTTAAACTTTATGGACCATTCAGTAAATTTTTATAATCTCTCTTTTTTTAACAGTTCAGATTTGGTTTGAGAGTAAAAAAAGCTTTTTTTTGCATTTATTGGTTAGTTTTCAAAATTGTCCTTGGATCCGGATCCTAAGCACTGTAATGTTTATGTATCTCTAGGTGAACAAGCCGACCTTAACCATCCCAGCGCACAGTGACAAGGTGTCCTTGGTCCGCTTCAACCCGGTCGCACAGGACGTCATCGCCACAGCGGCTTTTGACTGGTTGGTCAAAATCTGGAACCTCAAGACAGAACAGGTCGGTTTAGAATGCAGAAAGCTTCACCTCCCTCGATATCTTGTATAAAAATTTTACCATCCAGGTTTAATAAAAAAAATCATTTTATATTTACTAATTTTGAATTAGTAATACTGCTACAAAAGCATTTCTTAAAGAAATACCTGTATTGATAAAAACACTTTGAAATCGTTTTTTTTTATATTTTTCAAATTTTTTTTCAGGAAATGTTGGCTTTAACTGGACACACTGATCAGATATATTCAATGGCCTGGTCTCAGTGTGGAAGGTCAATACATTTTTTAATCGTAAATATATTCGAAATTTTTAAATACTAAATCAGTTTGGTTTGCCAAAAGGAAGCAACAAAAACAACTTTCAAGTTGGTTCCCTCTAATTTGGATGAATTATAGCTAGCTTAAGAAGTGTAATACGGACGGAAGTTCTCTTTTAGGATATCCGGATCTATTAAACCCAAAAAATAAATTAAATATGTCTGAAAGGGACTTTTGGTGTAATGTTAGATGATCCTTAGTTTTTAGATTATCATTTCCGAGTCCTTATTGTTTCCTTTTAACCAGTGCTTAGGATCCAAGGGGTTAAATATCAAACAAAAACTTCAAAAAAAAACACCTTTTTTACTCCTAAAACCAAAAACTGAACTTCTGAATGATTCATCAAGTTTTAGGATAAAAATATAGAAATGACCTGGATCCGGATCCGGATTCATTTTTTTCCTGTCCGGATCCAGGATCCGGATCCCCATCAAAATTAAATGGATCCTAAGCACTGCTTTCAACATTTATTCGAGTTATAATGAGAGAGATTTATCTTTCCAATAAAGTAGTTAATTCTGACATTTTTTCCTCGTTTCTGTGTTATTAATTCTCAACACTATTATTGAATACTTGCAGTTGAAAAGATAGTAAAGGAAATGATTTTTTATGGTCAGGGTAAGGAAGTAAAATTTTACATTTAAGAACAATTTTTTTCGTTCTTTTTGACGCTTTTAAACCAGGTTTTAAATTTTTTTCTTAAAAATCATTTAATTTCCCTAATTCTGCGAATAAAAATGTGGGGAAAACATCCCGCTTCGCGCAAAAAGCAAACCTGTGGGATAATATTGATTTTCAAAAGGGGGCCGGGTGGGGGGAGGGGGGTATTAAGAAAATATGCATCTTTGTTGTGAATGGGGATTGGCGATCTTTATTTGAAGCACTATTTAGAATTACGTTGGAAGTCGCTTTACACACAAATCTCAAGTGTTGACTATTGCAAAATCTATGAATTTATAACTTCTTACAAGTAAACCATTGTGCACAGGGGTGTTCAATGGTAAAAAGGTTCAATTTGTTCTTGTTACTAGGATTACAAAATTTTAGTAAAAATAAACATGTACAACAGAAGGTTTGGAATGAAAAACTAATATTTATTTAAGAATTAAAACTCTAATTATAAAGGTTGGAGCACACATCATCTTCTGCACTATTTTTTTCAGGTTTCTTGGAACCGTGTGCAGGGATGGTAGAGTTCGGATATATGATCCCAGGACTGGGAGCTCACCTGTCAGGTAGTCAATTTATTCATTCAATCAGTCATTCATTCATCCTTTTACCCATCTTTTCATTCATTCAGGTATACTCCTAGATTTATTTATTTATTCATGCATTTAATTTTTTTTCTTCTGAATTCATCGGATTCGTTTCTAGATATATATTTGTTCATCATTTTTTTTCTTAATTTTTCCTGATAGTTTGGGCTCTAGACGGAAGATTTCTTATTGTTTCCGGATTCGGAAAGGTTTCCGAGCGGCAAATCATGATCTACGATACAAAGGTCAGTTTTATTCTAGCTCCTTGAACAATATTGACTTAAAATTCAGCGAAAAACATTTTCATCCCTGATGTGATTTCTTTATTTACAAAAAATGACCGGTACTAGTTAAGTCACTGACTGGCATTTTGAAAGGAAATGGGTATTTTAATAATCTTCTATCAATGACCTACTTATTGTCGTAGATCCAAAGAACCCGCAATGTTTACAGGCACATTACGGTTTATGGGAGTTCCGAACCCTTTTCACTGAATGTATTGATGGGTTTTGTAATATGGGTTCTATGTTTAGTAGTTTGTTGCAAATATTTTCACAATTTAGCCAAGTGAAGGAATAACAATAACAAATGTTTTTAATATGCCTGTTCTAAATATTTGCTTTTCGTAATTATGTAAAATTTTGACCCTGAGAAAATATAAAAGCAAAAAACCTAAAAACTATCCGAAAATATTTTTAGATAGTTTTTCTATTCGTTTAGAGTAAAGAAAAATACAGTTTTGAAATGTTTTAAGTTTTTTTTTAACTATCCAAAATTATTACTTAGATATAAATTATAAAAATAATGACAATAATGAAGAAAATGTATAAAATAAAATGGAATAAAGAAACGATGAATTTGTTAAGGATTTGAACTGTATTCACACAGAAACCTTGTCTGTATCTCCGGGCATACTAATACCATATTACGACGAGGATTCATCTACACTCTTCCTGTCAGGTGGGTAGGATGGTGGGTCGAAGAGAATTCTGTTTGATTGATTGATTGATGAAATTTTAAACATATTGTATAAATAGATTGGCAATTGATTGGCTGATTGTTCAAATGTTTAATTTTACCTTATTCATTTTCTCATTGTTTTTATTTATTTTATTAACAGATGATTATTATGTTTGGCAGGTAAAGGAGAGGTAACCGTGAACGCTTATGAAATAGCTGAGGACTCTCCGCACATGTTTCCGCTTTCACCGTACAAAGCACCCAACCCGTCCCAGGTTAGTTTTAGAAATCATGATAGTTCCTAACACCCGTCAACTGGGGGGGGGGGGATCATATACTTTGATGTAAGGAAGAGATCGGGAGGGGGGGGGGGCTGTTCTATTAGTGGTACAGTAAGTACCTTTCAAATTTCCATGATAAGAGGGAGTGACAGCAATTATCAATAATGTCAATATTGGAGATTTCCTGGGCATTTGGGACATTTCCCAGATACCCAAGCATTTAGGAAATTTCCCTGCTACCCAGAGGCGTTCCCAAAAACACGGGCTTTTTAGAAATTTTTAAAATCCTATAAATTCCTCAAATATCCAGTCATTTGGGAAATTTCCAAAATTGCTCACTGAAATACAGCTTTAGTAATTTAAGAAAGCTGGGGAATTCCCCAAGTACCTGAGAATCTTAGGAATTCTCCAAATTCCTATTTTCTTTCAAGTATGATTTCTGTCGAGTCATGTTACAACGGTAACCTTTAAAGATTTGATCTGATCTGATTCTATCTGATCTGATCTGATCTGATCTGATCTGATCTGATCTGATCTGATCTGACCTGATCTGATCTGATCTGATCTGGGCTGGGCTGTAAGCAGCAATATTAATGATAAAAATGTTACTTTAGGGATACGGTTTCCTTCCACATAAGAATATATTGGATGTTAAGGGTGTTGAGTTCGCACGGGCATACAGGTAATTTTTATTAGTTAGAGTGTCTGGCTAAACATGGTAGTTAAGCGGAGAATGCAGTATTGAAGCGGAGAATGCAGTATTGGAGAGAAATATTTAGAAATAATTTGAGACCTATCAGACCTTTGTACGGTGTATAATTGTTCAGAACGAGTAAAAATTCAATCATTATAATCATTTATGAATTCTTTCGATGTCTTCAAAGTTTTGGGGTAAACTATATCACATTTTACATTATAAGCACATTATATAGTATCATTGCACATAATAAGGTATGGAATATGACCATATGCTTATAACAATCATTTAATCATATTAATTATATTTTCATCTCTTATGATTTAGTTTATTATTGTCCAAAGTTATGCGTGACATGATTTACTATTTTGGTTTATATTACAAATATATGTTTCTACATCTTTACTGATTCTTCATACAAAAATAATATCATATCATTAAATAGTTCGGATAAAAAATATAAATAGTGGAATTTATTAATAAATACCTAATAAAAGAAAATATTGATTTATGATATCAATGCAGGGTCCGGATATATTTCAAGAATTCTAAATCCATATATATACCCTTGACGTACAATATTAGGACTGTTGGTTTCATGTTTATTTCTGTTTTGTTATTATTTATAAATAAATTATAATTGATAATATTCTAGATTGACCAATACAACCATAGAACCTATTTCTTTCACTGTACCAAGGGTCAAATCAACACTTTTTCAGGTGACACAATTCTTCTTTAATAGGAATAGATTTATTATTTTAAGAAATAAATTTTTTTACAACATTTGATCACCCAAGAGCGAAAAATTCATTTCAATATTTTTTTTAATTGAATAATATGCCTTTTGGGGGGTAAAAAAGTTTTAAAAAATGTATTTTTTATTGTTTTTTAAAGAAACTAAATGTATGACCTCTAGGATGACCTGTTTCCTCCCACCCGTGTTCTATGGGAACCCATGTGCTCCGGAGAAACATGGTTTCAGGGAAAAGAAATTGAACTCAGATGGGTCTCTCTTCAACCAGAGGGCATGCAGGCGCTTTCAGGTATGCAGACAGCTATGCGCTCTTATGGAGCTTTCAGGTAGGCAGGTAGCTATGCAATCCGATGTAGGCAATGAGGGAGGAAGCCATGCACACTTATGTAGGCAGGTATGCAGGCAGGGAGGGGCTCTTATGTAGGCAGGTATGCAGGCAGGGAGGGACTCTTATGTAGGCAGGTATGCAGGAAGGGAGGGACTCTTATGTAGGAAGGTATGCAGGCGGGGAGGGACTCTTATGTAGGCAGGTATGCAGGCAGGGAGAAACTCTTATGTAGGCAGGTATGCCGCAACTATGTACTCTTGTGTAGGCAGCTAGGTTGCAGCTATGTACTCTTATTAAGGCAGTTAGAGAGGCAGCTACGCCCTTTTTATGTAGGCTGGTAGGTATGTACTTTGGTGTATGCATTTACTCTCATGTAGGCAGGTATAGAGGCATCTATGCACTCTTATGAAGGCAGGTAAGGAGGCAGCTATGCACTCTCATAAAGGCAGGTAAGGAGGCAGCTATGCACTCTTATAGGCAGGTAAGGAGGCAGCTATGCACTCTTGTATAGGCAGGTAAGCAGGCAGCTATGCACTCTTATGTAGGCAGCTTTGCACTCTTATAGGCAGGTATGGATTTACAACGTGTGTGTGTCAAAATCCCATTGAATGATCACGTGCAAATTCCACTGTGCGCTGCGCTGAGCTCAGACTGTACGCACCTGTACACCGGAATTTTCAGCTGATTATACACGCGTATCTAGAATTTAGATATGTTTACACACAAAGGGTTTAAGGGTACCATTATAAATCGGGTATTCCCTTCTCTTTGCATGAAGGGTCCCTTAACACTTGAAATTACGCTTACAGTCCTTAAAATTTTTATTATTTTATGAAGGTAACCCTGTGAGGATAGTTGAAAACAGGACTAGGATCTCGAGGGAGGAGAAGATTAATGTCAACAACATGTCGAAGGATCAGGCGCAGGAGCTCACCAAGGACATTGTCAAGGTGTGTCGTTAAAAAAACTGTCTAAAATATCTGTGCATCTGAAAATTCTTAAAGCTGAAATTTTAGCCCGATAGTGGAGGCTAGACTATTTCGAAGATGAAAAAATTGGACTTTAATCCAACTAGCTCTATTTTTACATTAAACCCACCTACTCTTATATTTCCCGTAAATAATATATTTATCCTTTCATTATAGGGAGGCAATAGGGATGTTAAATAAAGGTATGAGGGAATTTATTACATTGCCAAGGCTTCCCTAAGACCTTGCTGGGTCCTGAAGCATCTCGAGCCTAGCGAGGGGTGCGTTTAATTCATCTTTTCTGGAAGTGGTTTTATTAGTTCTAGTGTAAAAGTATTGTATAAACAAAGTAAATGCAATATTACTAAATTGATCTGACCTGATTATTTCTAAGATGCATTTTGTAACCTAAACCTAAGATGATTCTTTGTCAATATTTTTTAATGCCTGTATGTTCAGTTCATGTGATGTACTGTTTGTAATTATAAACCTTATGATATTATTGTAATTAACGTAAAATTTCCGGTAGGGATGACAGCAGGGACGCCATAAGCCCCTCGAAATGGTCTCCAAGTCTCTGGATTCGCAGAGGAGTATGTACAATGACCATGCGCTACCCCTCCTATCTATAAGTAAAGATATCATAGACGTAATTTTTAAAGAAACATTGAAAAAGTATTTAATATTTTAATAGCTATGCAAGGTTTTTTTTGAAAACGCTTCATAACTAATTCAATATAAGATATTTTCTTAAAAATTTTTATTCTTTAAATTTTAACGTTTAGAGGTAGCGTCAGGTCATTTTAAACAATCATCTGCGATAACGGAGGCTTTGAGAACATTTTGTGGATCTCGTGGCGGTCCTGCACCCCTCCCTCCTCCCGGAGTCTGCTCCAGGCCTAATTAGTGGTGTAATCAAGGCAGTCCTACCTCTTAATTACAACAGCTGAACTTATTAAACTTATTATATCTCCTAATTTTGCTTTAGATATTTGCATTGATTTTGCGTAGCATTTCATTTATTTCATTTACCTGATTTTTTGTATATACGAATGTTCTTGTGTAAGAATTATTTATCCGTTTTGCTTTTATCTGTAACATTGTATTTTTATCCGATTGAGAATTTGCGTATTTTTTTTTATTACGCATATTCTATGAACAAGTTTATTTTGCTTCTAGTCCAACCACATCATTCATCTAAATATTTTAATCCTTACTTCGCTATACGTCGTGGATTTTAGATAAGTAAACGTAGAACTGATTTTATTTTTTGTTACACCTAGACCAAAATGATCCTGGCTGAAAAGACGATGGCATAAAACCGAGCTTAAATATATCTATTCGTAATTAGATAAAATAAAGGAATAGTTTGCAATGAGTTGAATACAACAATCGCTCAAGATCGTAGTTCAAGTGATTTTCGAAAATAACGCATAAAAGCCAAGATCAAATCGTAGATTAGTATCATGTTCGCAAACATTATGATTTTTTACTTTTTCTATTTTTATTATTGTGTAAGATTTGCTGACTAATTATGTCTGTGATTTAAACCCTCTCTGTCTGTATAATTAATGTGTGTATTTGTATTAAACTGTATTTTTAATCAACAGAGCTTGCAAATAAATGAAGAAATTATTAGTTAAGATCTAACAGAAATGGTTTTTGTACAGGGAATCAATTAACTACCAGCTTTGACAGTCTTTTTGGTGGCATACACACGGTTGTTATAAAAAATGCTTGCACTTGGATTTCGCCAAATTTGAATTTTTTCGCGAAATTGTCGCAGTATTTTTGCAAAAGCTTTTGTTCGCTGGAAACCCTAGATACAATTTACAACTAATCGTTGATCGCATGCGAAAACTTGTCGAATCTTCAACTAGAATTGGTAGATTGCTGAAAGCATGGCGTGCTTAAAAAACACTCGCGATCGTAATAGAGCTGAAAAATAGAAATCTAGCTTTGTCTGCAGGAGTTGCAATATTGTTTTAAAAGTCGGAGCGTCTTTAATTAATATGATATCTGAAATGCTTCTAAAAAATTATGTTTAAGCTGCCGGCAAACTTTTAAAAATCATGCACATCTAAAAGACCATATTCTAAAAAGTCCCAAAAATCTTAAGTTGCTTACACTACTCGTATAAATAATCAAACTTTGTTTGTGTTTATAAAAAACTTCAGACTATTTTTTCAATTATTAATTACCTTTCCGTCAAATAAACGATAATGTTCACTTTGAAGACGACAATTCAAGTTGTAGAGGTAGAAATACGATCACGTGACACAGACTCACCACGTTTGTTGAGAGAGCTGAGAACACAAAATTTGACCTATAACTGTTCAGAAACACACCGCTAGAGTTCTCTAGTGGACATTTCCATAATTATATTATAATCACAATTAGTTTTTCTGAAGTAAAGATATTAATGTTCTCAAAGTTTTTAATTCGATCGTTAACTTCTATTAGTGTAGTGGAAGCATTTGATTATATCTAAATAAAATACATGTACAGGTCAATTAAAAATGCCATAAATAGACCCTGAAATTTGTTATTGTTTACAGATCCTTCTAATGTTCAACGGGACATGATGAGCTGGTGTATCAGTCTACTGACTGAAGCTTGATGCCTGATTAAGTTCAGTAATCAAGTTAAACCTATCTGATCCCTATTTAGAACGAATAAATGAATTATATAACGGTCTAACAGACCACCTTAAAGTCATTGCCGTTATAGTGAATGCTGGGAGCATAGAAGTTAAGTTTTATACATGTGGTACCGTAGACGGCTACATGGAGGGGGCAGTTCATTACCCCCCTGGATTTTTTAAAGTCATTACTCCGAAGGCTTTTGACCTGGTTCGTCTCATGACCATCGACAGGTTGGTCAATCTGGAAAGAATGGCGATTCACCTAAAGAGACAATTGCCTCAAGTTCGAGGCGCACCTGAGAGGGGGGGCGCCCCCCCTGCAGAATGAAAAGAAAGAAAGAATGGCGGAAATCAGTATTACAGGAATAAGAAACCAATAGAGTAATTGTAGAAATTTTATTTTACTACAGTTAGTTTTAAAAAAATATTTATATCTTTTTCAATTCTCAAGGCTAAAGGCCAATGTAAACATTTAATGTAAAAAAAAGTTCGGAACTGTATTTTATTTGTGTTGAGTTTATAGAGTACTCGTAGATATCAAACTTTGAATTCTTTTGGTTAAATATTCCAAGTTTGAAACATCAAATGTTTACACCACTCGGTGCAAAGATTAGAATATTTGAGTTTGTGGCAAAAACTCAGTTTCAAATCTAGAGAAAATTCTGAACCTGGCAAATTTCTAAATGATTATCATATTTGATAACTAACTAGATTTATCTTCTTTGACAGAAGTTCTGTAAAATCGAAAATGAATTTAGATTATGAATGTTGGTTAGATCAATCATTAATTCAATAACTTCAAGAGAAAAGGTAACATTATCTGTCCTTTTTCAATGTAGATGATTGAAATTATTATTTACCTATGTATTTTTATGTTTTTTTTC